CGGAGCCTTGTTTTCTTAACAGTGAAATGCCGAAGTATAAATAAATCAACCGAACGACGTCCTCGCGTGCTTCGTTATCAGTCCGCCATTCTTTCCACCAGTACAGCCTGCGCTCTTACCTGAGCCCGCCAACAGGGCTAGGGATGCGCAGAGAGCTGCGTTGTACGTTTTTCCTCTCTGATACTGTGATAAAAAGTCCAAGAGTGACGTGATTTGTGCCATGATTTTCACTCATGAAGTTTTCTTCAAAAAGTCCGCTTCCAGTGATGATTCGTGGGTTGTTTTCTTCTTTTTTTTTTTTTGCAGACCTTACACACAAAGCTCTCTCGCATATTTCACAAGTCTTGACGATTGGAGAAAATCACAAAATTACGACACGTAAAAAAGTGAAAAAGAGGCGCCGTGAAAATATATTGAAACCAAGAAGTTACCATCCGTCACTATATTGTTTGTGGCAGTTTTTCTATTAAATATGCTAAGAACCCTTTCTCGATTAACAACTTTAATAATGTTGATTCATTTGATTATAAAAACTAACGATAAGAAAGAACGACGTTTCCACCAGTCTGGGGTCATTTTCAAGCTAAAGAAAGGGATTGAAATTAGCACATGTATATGTAAATTCAAAACACAGCAATGTTAAAAGAGACAAAGTGTGCTACTACTAAGCGCTACAATATCAAAACAACACTTCTTCATTGGCATTCAGAAGCAATGACAAAAAAGGTCTAAAAATATACAAAGGCCTTTATTAGTCTATATTAAGACAACAACAATATGTTATTAGCAAATAAAAGAAATTCAAATATCAAAATACTTTGCGCTGTACAAATAACTTTACGCGGATTGAGTCCGACTGTTTGTTTAATGTTGGCTTTTTCTTTTATATACATAAAAGAGCGTTGATTCAATGCGGTATTTGTTTTAAATAATAATTTCGGGAAGTTAATGTCCTTTCAGTCCCAGAAATCACCAAAAATTAAGCCTCGCGAAATTTGGCACTGACGAATGTTCGATTAGTCGATCTAGTTGGAGAGCAGCACATTTTTAAAAACAGCCAGAGAAAAATTAGGGGAGGAGGTCGGCCCCTCCCCACCGAAACTGTTCCATTGTCACGCAGGCTGTGCGTATGTGACCACTGGCAATCGATATTGCGATTCATAAGAGCGTGCAGCCAACAAGGAATGTTTATATGACTTGACCTCTTGGATTACTTATACGCAATAGACGGAGCAAGTCGTATTTAATAACTCTGGGATTGATTCGGGAAACGTGACAAGTTGAAGAATGCGTTCATTATCAGCCTGTCTTGGTTTCACATTGATCGTTACTGGTAAGTCTCCTGAACTAATGACACTGAACACAAATCCCTAGGTATACACTAAAATCACGAACAACGAAACGAAACAAGATCAACGGAATGTTGATTTCGCAATTTCGTTTCGGTTGTT